GTGGTTGGGGGCTGAGCTGCTGGCTGGGGTTAAACCACAACACTGGCTTTACTGAAAGAGTGGCTCTCCCAACAGAATTAAAACCCCTCTTGATCTGGGTCATTTTACTGCAGGATTACTTCATGTTACTCAAGTAATATAGCATCTTAGCTATAAAAGAATTAACTAAATCCAAGCATTCAAAAATAAATCCTCTAAGAAAACTATTGTTTAACTAAAGTGACTGAATCGTGAGGTAGGTTTTGGGGAGGCAGGCAGGCAGGGACAATGGGTTGGAAAAGCCTCAAATTCAATTCAGTGCATCCAAATTCTCTTAAAATGACAAAGTAGTCCAAACCAAACCCAGAAAAATCCACATTTTATCTCTGGACAGAGTTTTTTTTGCATGTAAGCTGCAGTTAGTACAAGTGGCTACTGATACTCTGCTCTAATTGTGCATTATGACCAACGCTAAGCTCAGTAACCACCACAGACTAAGGAGCTTTCCTTTAGCACACTAGGATTTCTGCTTCTTTTATGTAAGAGGGAAAATTGGGGGAAGGGGCTGTTTGATTTTATTTCCTTTTAATGGTATCAAAATATGGTACTTAGACACAAAATTTGTCTGTCCTCTTTCCAACTGCCTAATTCTTCAAGCATTTACATATGTTATTTTCTCCTATTCACTTCTCTGGCACAATCCATGTGATTTCTTAGCTGTTTGCTCAGGAAGTGCTTTAGGCCAGAGTTTGGGAAATGAGTGAGAAAAGTCAAGAAGATCTGGGATTCCACCACCCATTGCTGACTTCAATGGCAATTGTATGTTTGCAGCTAATGTGGGCATGCATGTGTCTACCTGAGCACTGGTAAGTTTTTCACACTGTAATACCGATTCCAAATTTTTATTAATCTAAATAATAAATTTTAAGCACATGACATCATATACCAATTTGAAACAAAGTCTGCTTTGTTATCTCAGTAAAGAAAGGACTGGTCCAAAGCCCACTAACATCAATGAAAGAATTGTATATTTTCCCCACCGATGTCTGTGGTCATTTCACTACTCAAGGCTTTTAATTAACAACTGTCTTTTTCCACGTTTCTGTATTTTCCATGTTCTATGGGGCAATATGGAAAATTTGATTTTTCACAGGCCAAGTGCAGCTCTGAGTTACACACATCAAATTCCCACTGAGGTGAATTGCTAGTTTCTTTCTTTCTGAGAATCACACTATTTTTGGCAGAAGACAACAGCTAAAAATATATTTTGTATAGCAGTAAGTTGCTAAACTTCAAGACAATAAAAACCAACCAAATTACAAAGTGCTATTGATTTTCAATAAAACAATTCAAAAGGTGGCCATTCTACTATAATAATTTATTTTTAGTGTACTATTACTGCAAGTGATGCCATTATTATTATCAATATTATTATATTAAGGGATTAAATCATTAAACCTGTATATAAACTAACAGATAAGTACTGCATTTTTGAGAAATGGTAACTGGTGTTAAGACACTTGGGTAACTAATGAAAAAGAACTAGTATAAAACGGGCTTTGCTTATCTGTACGTCACGTTTTAAGATGTCATGGTATTTTCATCTGGGAACACCGCCATATAAAGATCTGTTACACTTGCAATAGTCTCTTATTCTTCCTACTACAAGGGTAGAAAAACTCCTCAAGTTAATGAAAGGACTCCCAGTGATTTTAGTTGTAACTGGACTAATCCTGTAAACTGTATTTACTGCAGCATTAAAATTTCACAAGATTGATATTACATGTGGATGAGAAGAAATATGCAAAATGTTAGCAAATGCAAAAAAAAGCATAAACAAACAGGTTTTACAGAAAAATTCATTGCTTATAGGAGAATGAAAGACACCATTGGCTCCTGAAGGCCTTGGAAGACACCCAGAATTTGAATGGCATTAGAGAACTAAGTCGAGAAAATGCCAGAAAAATTCCTCAGACAGGCACACAAGCACAAGAAAACACTAAGAAATCTCCTGGTGAAATGGAAACCCAGAGACTTTCTCAACATCCATTCTCAAAAGAAAAAACCTGTGCATAGTTTCAGTTTTGAAAAAACCAATGACTTTAGATTAGAATATATTTGGTTAAAAATTCCAGGCTACCTTTTTTTGTAGCACTCCCCCAACAGCAAAATATATATATA